GGATTGGGGCAGAAGAAAAGGGTGGCAGAGCCAGGCAGAGGGCATGGTAATTGCATATAGCTCTGATTACCAGTGAGGTTGAGCATCTTTCCATGTTTATTGGCCATTTGAGTTTCCTTTCCTGTGAATTTTCTATCCATATTATTTGCCTGTTTCCTTGGGTCATTTGAATTTCTTTTTCAGTAATTTGTAGGATCTCTGAATAATATTAGGACATTCATTCTTTGTGTGTTATGTCTATTGTGCAAATTTTCTTTTAGTTGGCTGCTTGTCCCTACCTTGTCAATTTTATTTTCCAAAAACTGACCTCAGTGAGGGCTGCATCAGCACCAGGGTGTGCACATCAGTAAAGATAGTTGGGGTCACATCTGGGAATCATATCCATCAGGTGCATGTCAACAGAAGAATCTAGATGAACCACCGCTCCTGGTTACTTTATGAACACGACTGGCCTCTGGAATTTTAAAAGCATTGCTTTTCCTATTTGCAATAAGTCCATTTCTTTCCTGGGTGAAAAGAGAGCAGAGATATGGTAAACTCTCACAGTCCTGCTGTAGCTTGGAGCTGAATTTGAACAAAATTGTTAGGGGGTGGTCCAGAAGTGGGGACTGGTGAGATAGCTGCCATGTTTTTCTGTCTCCTGAGAGCTGAGTGGGATTGCAGACCTTTGGAGGAATTGAAGTTTTGCATAGGCCCTGGGTCTTGACCCGGAGGCTGATTGCAGAGACCATATCCCACAAGCAGGAGGCCAGACTGGCTTTTGGTCCTAGATTGCTGGGTTGGTAGCAAGTGGAGTCCAAAGAGACAAGGTCCGATGTCCTAGAGCACAGCCCTGAAGCTGCCAGGCCCTGCTGAATTGTGTACTTGGCAGCCTCTGATGGTGACAGTGGAGTAGTCCTGCAGCTGAGAGCTTAACATGGGTGATTCCAGCTTTGGTAAAGCCAAGACCCCATGTGCATATACAACTGGGGTTTGTCATTCTGTGAGAAGCCAAGACAGCACAGAGTTGTCCAAGTACGGACTTATGGGAGTCTGCCTGGATCCACTTGTGGAGAATTCACACTCTTGGAGAACCTTTCTTCCCTTTCTCTTCGTCACTGGAAACATTTACGAAGAACCCATTGTGTTCAGGACTGATAAGAGCTCATGGAATTGCTTCTTAGCTGTGTAAAGCAACTGATCTATGAATGGGGCCAATGAGATTAGATTCCTGGGCCATCAGTGTTTGAGAATTAGAAGTGGCTTTAGGGAAGTGGTAAGGACATTTTAACTAAGAACTAGCTAAATTCATTTTTTTAAAGGTGAATATTTATGGAATATCTGCCATGCGCTGGATGTTGAATTGGACTCTGGAAATATAACGAAAAACAAAAATAGGTATAACCCTTCCTTTTATGGATCTTAAAGGAGAGAGTAGGAGACAGGCATTAATCAAGGAGCCCCTAAATATATGTAAAAGACAACTGTGAAAAGGCCACTCATGGTGCTGTGAGCATGAGATTGGGAGAACTGGCCTAGTGGGAGGCAGTGATCACTGAGCTGGCTCTGAAGGAAGATGGAACTCTTCAGGGGGAAGACAGGCCTTCCCAGCTCAGTAAAGTTCACCTGCCTGTCACTCATTCTCCCTTCCTTCTCTCACTCACCTACCCCACTCTCATAACCTAAAGCATACCCTCCTGGATCCAATGGATTATTATATCCTGTTTATTCCACCTCTGAAAAATCCCTCAAATTTAACCTCTTTTCAGATTCCCCTGTTGGCTCTGCCTAAATTATCTCTTTATCACTCCCCCAGATTTCTTTAAGGGTATCCTCACTGTTCTATTGCCCTCCAGTGTCTCCCTTCACTAATTCACACATCCAGGAGTCAAAGAATTGTCTCCATCCATGGGCAAAAGCCTTCTTAACAGAACATGATCTTTTTCATTTAACCCATTCACATTGAAAGGTGGTTAGAAGCTAGACACTAAGGAGGACATTGGACTTACTAGAAAGAAAGGGCTAGGTTTCTTGGAAGGGGTAGCCTTTGAGCTGTACAAAGAAGAATGGATAAAATATGGATATAAGGGGTGGGCAGGGGAGACCACTGCAAACAAGCAAAAGAGTGGTGAAGATATTTCCAAGGGGGTCTAGGAGTGTGAGTTCTGAGAGAAAGCAACTGGATGGAGCAGCCAGGAGGGGGATTTCCAAAGAAGTGTTTCATTAATATGATAGGAATAGATAGAAACTAGACAGTATAGAATTATGAATCATGAGCAACATAGGCAAAGGAATTCATTTCGCTTTCAATATTATTGGTCATAAGAAGAGCAAAGCAAGATGGTGGCTGGAGGTAGAAGTAGCAAAGGAGAAAAAGAAGTGACGAGAGAGAGAGAGGGAGAGGCTGGCCGAGGGTGTAGAAGTGTGGACTTGCTGATAGAGAAGGGCCCAGGAGACAGAGTGGGTGGAGGTGGCTGAGACAGGGAGGAGAACACAAGCCCAAAGACTCCCACAGAGAGAAGCTCTTCTTGAGAGAAGAGGTAATTGGAAGGCAGTAAGTGGAAGGCATTAGTGGAATGTGATAGGCAGAAGCAAGGGGAGGGAGGGAGCCAGTGTGGCTTGTTGTGGTTCTGTAAACCAAGTTCTTAAATAGTAAATGTTAATAGTATAATTTGCTGTAAAATTTTCAAACAATGCAGAGTACAAACCGAGGGTCTGCCTTCACCAGCCCTTTCCTGCCTTCACCTCTCAGAGGTTTATAGGGTTCATGGATTGATGTGTAACCCTCCAGATTCTTTCCTGTGCATTCACACCACTGTAAATATATCTAAATAGGGATATATACATAAACACAGACATACGCCTATATAGAGACACATACATGTACACACTTACACATATACATATGCAGATATAGTCATACTTGTTTGCATAAGTGGGACAATACAAGATGTACTATTCTGAAACTTGCTTTTTTTCATGTCATATGTCTTCAGAGCTCTTTCATATTCATTCTTACTGGGGGCTCTATGAATCTCTGTGCCATGAGTTATCTCACATTTTATTGATGGACTTTGAAGTTGCTTCTAGTGATCTCTGGTAAAAAGCCATACTGGAGCTGGGCATGGTGAGTCACGACTGTAATCCTGACACTTTGGGAGGCCGAGATGAGTGCATTGCTTGAGCCCAGGAGTTCAAAAACAGCCTGGGCAACATGGCAAAACCCTGTCTTTACTGAAAATACAAAAAATGGACAGGGAAAATGTGGCACATATACACCATGGAATATTATGCAGCCATCAAAAACGATGAGTTCGTGTCCTTTGTAGGGACATGGATGAACCTGGAAACCATCATTCTCAGCAAACTGACACAAGAGCAGAAAATCAAACACCGCATATTCTCACTCATAGGCAGGTGTTGAACAATGAGAACACATGGACACAGGGAGGGGAGCACTGCACACTGGGGTCTGTTGGGGGGAAATAGGGGAGGGACAGCGGGGTGTGGGGAGTTGGGGAGAGATATCATGGGGAGAAATGCCAGATATAGGTGATGGGGAGGAAGGCAGCAAATCACACTGCCACGTATGTACTTATGCAACAATCTTGCATGTTCTTCACATATACCCCAAAACCTAAAACGCAATAAAAACAAAACAAAACAAAAAAAGAAAATACAAAAAATTAGCTGGGCATGATGAGCATGGTGAACATTGTGGCACATGCCTGTAGCTATCCAGAAGGCTGAGGTGGGAGGTGGAGGCTTCAGTGAACTGTACTGTCATGAGTACCAATGCACGTTTATAAGCTTATATAAGAATGTCTATCAGATGGAAAGTGAGGAGTAGAATTTTTGGGCCAAAGACTCTGTGGGCTGTAATTTCATTGTTGTGAGATTGTCTTTCCCAAAGCTTGTTTATACTCCTGCTAACCACCTGGCTGGATTCCCCCAGCCTCTCCCAACACTAGATTTTATCAGGCTTTTCCATTTCTGCCAATCTGATTGTCAAATAATGCTATCTCATTGTTGTTTTGATTTGCATTTTCCTGCTTAGCAACACAGTGCCTCTTTTCATATATTTATCCTCCATTTGCTTTCATGATTTTTTTTCAAGTGAATTACCTGTTCATATCGCCTGCCTTTTTTTTTTTTTTTTTTTTTTTTTTCTGTTGGGTTATTTGCTTTTTTTAATTGACTTGGAGCGCTTCATATATTCTGGGTCTTACTGTGTTGTGCATTATATATGTTATGTTATGGCTTCTTTTCCTACTCTGGAATTTGAATTTTAGCCTCGTTTTGAGGCCCGTTTTATTGAGTCAGAGACAGATAGCTTAAATGACTTGCCCAAAGTCCCTCTGCCTGGAGCTGTTTTCTGACCCCAGTGGTCTCAGCAGATCCAGTATTCCTCTGCAGAACAGCAAGACTGTGTTCTCCTCTGGCTCCCATTCAGGGGGATTTTTTAAATTGCACACACTCCTGGAATAAGCAACACTGGCTGAGGCAGGGAGACCCATGACGATAGCTGCTACTTGTCTCTACTCCACTGTTCCATTTCTCTTCTCAATTTCAATGGAAGAATTTCCAAGATTTTCTAGCCCATACTTCAGGTTCACTTAGGACAGGCAGCAGTAAACTAAAAGGTTTCAGTGTTCTCTGGAACCCTAAAGATTCAGGGATGGTGTATCAGGAGCCACCTGGAATAAGGTTGCCAGATGTTGTAATTAGAAATACAGGACACGGGCCGGGCGCGGTGGCTCACGCCTGTAATCCCAGCACTTTGGGAGGCTGAGGCAGGCAGATCACCTGAAGTTGCGAGGACGAGACCAGCCTGACCAACATGGCAAAACCCCATCTCTACTGAAAATACAAAAAATTAGCCTGGTGGGATGGTGCGTGCCTGTAATCTCAGCTACTCAGGAGGCTGAGGCGGAGAATTGCTTGAACCCAGGAGGCAGAGGTTGTGGTGAGTCGAGATCGTGCCATTGCACTCCAGTCTGGGCAACAAGAGCAAAACTCCATCTCAAAAAAAAAAAAAAAAAAAAGTAATACAGGACACAGCCAATGGGTGGTGGCTGATGCCTCTACTCCCAGCCCTTTGGGAGTCTGAGGCAGGAGGATTGCTTGAGGCCAGGAGTTCAATGCCAGCCAGGACAACATAGCAAGACTCTGTCTCTACAAAAACATGAAAATATCAGCCAGACATGGTGGCGAGTGTCTGTAGTCCTACCTACTTGGGAGGATCTCTTAAGCCCAGGAGTTCTAGGCTGCAGTGAGCTAAGATTATGCCTCTGTACTCTAGTCTGGGCAACAGACAGAAGCCCTGTCTCTAAGAAAGAAGTGGGGGGGAACCCAAAACACCCACTTAAGTTTGGTTTTCACATAAATAACAAGTACTATTTTAGCATAAATGTGTCTCATACAATATTCTAGTATACCTATGAACCACACAATGTTTACTTATACTAAAACATTATTCATTTTTATCTGAAATCAGATTTAGCTGGGGTTGTATATTTTATCTGGCTCCCCTAATCTGGGGGAGACAGGAAAGGGTAGGAGGAAACTGGGTGAGCTCAGTAGGCTTACTCCTAGCCTCAGCCTAAGGATGACACTGTTAAATGTCTTAGAGTTTTAGATTTAAGAATGTAAGGTATGAAGAGATTAAGTGACGTGGCAGAGCTGGGGCTTGGATCAAGATATGTCTGATAGAAGAGCCCATTGTTTTCCCAAGTCCCTTGAGTTTGGGGTGACCGATTCCCCTCTTGATGGCCTCTCCCCAGGGTATGGAAGAGACAGCTCTGGAGTAGCAAAGGGTGTGAGGAGATAGGCCTATCAGACCACAGGCTTCCCGTGTGCAGAAAGTGTGGGGTGAGGGGAGAGAAATGTGTTTCCTGCAACACTCTCATCACCTTAAATGGGGTGAATCCTGATTAATTCAAATTAAATAACTGTTTAATTGGCTCTAACTCCATTTCCAAGAGTGAGCTCACAGCCCATAAATGGATCTTTGGACTTCTGACTACTGGATATCTTACTTATATTACTACTACATCCTGTCACCTTTTTTGATACCTAGTCTGAATTTTTTCCTTTTTCTTTTTTTACAGAGTTTTGCTATTGTCACCCAGGCTGAGTGCAGTGGCATGATCTCAGCTCACTGCAACCTCTGCCTCCCAGGTTCAAGTGATTCTTCTGCCTCAGCCTCCTCAGTAGCTGGGATTGCAAGTGTGCACCACCATGCCCAGCTAATTTTTTTTTTTTTCCAGTCGAGATGGGGTTTCACTATGTTGGTCAGACTGGTCTCTAACTCCTGACCTCAAGTGATCCACCCGCCTTGGCCTCCCAAAGTCTAAATGTTTAAGTCACTTTTATCAATATATAATTAGTATACAATAAAATACACCATTTTGGAGTGTAGAGTTTGGTGCGTTTTGACAAGCTCATGCATCCCTCTAGCTACCACCACAATCATGACATCTAGTTACCACCACACATAAACATCTCCGTCACCCCAAAAAGTTTCTTTGTGCTGGTTCTTGGTCATTCTCCTACCATCCCTAACCCCAGGTAACTGATCTGCTTTCTGTCATGCCAGATTAGATTTGTCTTTCCTAGAGTTTCACATAGCAGAAGTGTTCATTGTAATCATACAATATATACTCTTTTGTGTCTGACTCCTTTCAGTATAACAATGATGATATTCATTCATGTTGTTGTGTGTATCAGGAGTTCATTCATTTTTTTCTTACAGCTGAAAACTATTCAGTTTTATTAATATACCATCATTTCTTTATCCATCCAAATATCCTTTTGGTGAAAATTTGGGTTGTTGGTTTGGGGTCATTATAAATAAACCTACTATGAATGAACATTCAAATATGTCTTTGTGTGATTGCATGTTTCATTTCTTCTGGGCAAATACCTAGTAATAAAATTACCAGGTTGTGTGGTAAGTGTGCGTTTACATAAAATACTGTTCAACTGTTTTCCAAAGTAGTTATGCCATTTTACATTCCCATCAGCCAAGTATGGTGGACATGCCTTTGCAGAAACTTGGTATCTTTACTCGTTAAAATTGTAACCATTCTAATGGATGTGTGGTGGTATCTCATTTTGGTTTTAATTTGCCTTTCCCTGATGGCTAATGAGGATAAATATTTTTTCACCTGTTTATTGACCATTTGAAAATCATCTCTTCAAGATTCTGCCCATTTTTAAATTGAGTTGTCTTATTAGTTATAAGATTACATATATATATATAATTCCTATATATTAATATACTATAATTTGTTTATGCATCCACCTATATATATGGAGAGAGAGAGATTTTTACCTGTTCCAAAGTCATGAAGGTTTTCTCTTGCTTTCTTCCGAAAGTTTTAGCTTGTATATACACTTAGATGTATGATCTCTGCCCCTATTATTTTATTTTATTTTTTTGAGATGGAGTCTTGCCCTGTTGGCCCAGGCTGGAGTGCAGTGGCTCGATCTTGGCTAACTGTAACCCCTGCTTCCCAGTTCAAGCAATTATCCTGCCTAAGCCTCCTGAGTAGCTGGGATTACAGTTACCATGCCTGACTAATTTTTTTGTATATTTAGTAGAGATGGGGTTTCACCATGTTGGTCAGGCTGGTCTCAAACTCCTGACCTCATGATCTGCCCCACCTTGGCCTCCCAAAGTGCTAGGATTACAGGCATAAAGATGTATGACCCCTTTTGTGTTAATATTTATGTATGGGGTGAAGGGAGAGTTGAGGTTCATTTTTTTTCCCCGTGTGAATATCCAGTTGTTCTAGCACCCTTGGTTGAAAGGGCTATTAGCAGATCATATTTTGAATAATATGCAGATACAACATGATTGATTCCCTATCAGCATCCCCTCCTTGTTTTAGTATTTTTTTTTTCCATCAACAAGTATTTGTTGATTTTCTGTGACATGTCAGGTATTGTTTTAATTGCTGGGCATCAGCTTTGAACAAAGTGGAACAAGTCCCTGCTCTCACGGAGACCGTGGCTTAGCCACGGGAGGCAATCAACAGTTTAACCCAAAATCATAATAGTAGACCTGGCACTAGAAAGAAAACTAAAATAGGGTTCAGAAACAGAGTGGCAGGACATGCTAGAGTGAAACTCACCCAGCTCTTGTTGAATGACTAAATGAATGATGGACCCTTGAAGCAGCTACTGGGACAGGTTGTAGGAGACTGGCCAGTGGGTGGAGTAAAGGATATCCCTGACAGAGGAAGCAGCAGGTGCACAGGCAGAGATGCCCACAAGGGCATGGCACCCTCAAGGCACTGGACCTACTGTGGCCTTGGTGGAGCACAGAGCATAGGGAGGGCTGGCAAAGATGCAAGTGGAGGGGCAAGCAGAACCTAGGTCATGAAGGCTTTGTATGTCCAAGGCATTTGAGCAAGATCCTGGGAGCCAAAGGAGTCCCAAGGAACTCAAAGTAAGGGATGGCAGGGCTAGAAGCCCAAGAAGGATGAATTAAAGGGGGGTGAGATGAGGAGGGCAACATTTCTAAGAAGGTAACGTTTGAGCAGAGACCCGCAAGATGGGGGATGTGGGGACTCGGCTTTCTGCAGATGGGCTGTTAAGGGAAGAGCCTAATTACCAGAGCCTCCCATTGCCAGCCCACCTTCTCAGACACTCCCTTAGGGGCCTACAGTTGTGACAAGGGTCCTCTGCAGAGCTCATGTGCCATCAGATGTCATTCAGGTCTCCTCCATGTCTTGGCTACTCCAGCCACTACTTACAAAGCTGCACCTTACAGCAGTGAGTGACTTTAGCAGATTTCACTCCTTCCTTCATTTCTTTAGTTGAAAGGTCTGTATTAAGCATAGTAAGTGAGCTTGGCACTGCACTAGGCTCTGGGGAGACAGAGATGAACTATTGAATGGGCCCGAGTTACTGCTTCAGCAAGAGCCAGTCCAAAAAAGTCTTAAATGCACTTGGTATGTGAAGTCTTTGCTCTGCAGAAAAGGGAGCTCCATGAATGGCTGAGGCTACCGGATTTGGGGGAGTGAGGAATGGGAGGCAAGCAGAGTCTAGCCTAGGAGACTGTTGCAATAGGTCAGGTAAGATATGATGAAGGTGTGAATCAAAGCAGTGGAGATGGGGAGGGGGCGGGAGAAAGAATCTTGGACACTCCAGGTTTCTAACTTGAACACAGGCGTATGGTGGTGCTACTGATTTTAGGGGACACAGGACAAAGAGCAGGTCTGGAATAGGTGGGTGTATGGATAAAGTGGTGAAGAGTCCATTGGAGGCACAGTAAGGCTGAGATGCTCCTGGCAGAAATGTCTAGGACTTTGTTGCACTTGAGAGTCTGAAGTTCATGTAGGAGATATGGGTGGGATGTCAAGCCTTGCAATGAATCCACAGAGGAATCATGATTGACAACAGAGATGGAAGAGATACTCCTGGGAAGTGTCTAAACAAATACTTGCTCTGTGTCAGCCTTTTGCTCAGCGTGCTACTAAATGTTTAATATACTGGTTAGGACATTGGGTTCTGATGCCCAACTCCCTGGGTTAAAACCTTAGCACTAGCACTTATTACCAGGGTGACCTTGGGCAAGTCACTGCAACTCTGTATGCCTCTGCTAAATGTTGATGGTAATAAATTCACCTTTTGGGATATTATGAGGATTAAGTTATCTAGTATGTGTATGGCACATAGGATAGTGTGATACCATGTGATTGGTAAATGTTAGTTGCTCCTAATATCCTTTAATTCTCACAACACACCTATAGCATAGGGGTTATCATTACTTGTTTTACAGATAAGGCAATTGTCCAAGGTTATGGAATCAGGTAGTGGAAGAACAAGGACTTGAATGAAGGCCTATATGTCTCCAGAGTCTACCATCCAAGACTGTCTTCTATTATGGGAAAAAGTCTGTGCATTCCTTGGCTACTTGATGCCCTCAGCCCCTCTGGGCAGAGGGGTTCCAATGCCTGGCTGGGCCCCCATCCCTGCTGTGCCATCAGCCATGGCTAGCATCTTCCACCTGCAACCTGGAGCCAGCAGATCCCACAGCCCAGCCTGCAAGGCTTACACACACACAAGCAGGATGCTGCCTTTCTCACCTCCTCCAGATGCTTGCAGCTACTGTGCCATGTTGGAGTCACGGGCTACATGTCCCTGCCTTGGTCCCAGAACAGAAGAAGAAAGGAGCCTTGGAGTCCACGCCGACGGAGATCTGATTACCATCATGCCCAGTGCTCTGCATTACACTCCAGGTGTCCCATTTGGAGAAGAGAGCTAGTCAGGAGCCCTGTCTGAGAGACTGTAGCAGCTTCGGGTTGAAGCCAGGAGAGCAGACTTAGAAGGACTTTAAGCTATTAGCAAATACAGCACAGATAGGGGCCAGAAGTTCTGAGAGGAACTGGGGTTAGGCAACAGGCTGAGTCATGGCCCAGTACGGAAGCAGGAAGGCAGCCAGCTCTGGGGAGGGCACTGAGAACAAGCAGGCCTGGGCTGAATGCCTGGCTCTATGCACCTGTGCTGTCATAAGATGTTGCGCCTCTCTGGGCCTCAGTTTCTCCAGCTGTAAAATGGGTATGGCATGGATAAATCCCTTCTAGAGGTGATGTGAGGACTCCTTGCTATGCCAAGGATGTTACATGTTAGCTTTCCTTTCCTTGCCCCTGCCTACCCAAGGAGGGAGAATTTCCTGCAGAAGGCACACTTTCAGCAGCATAGGGGAGGTATGGAAGGAGACGGATTGAGAGAGCAGAGGGAGGAGAGTGTTGCTGCAAGGGCATGAGCCTCGTACCCCTGGAAGTTGGGGCTGAGTGGAGAGTTTCAGCGTGGAGGGATTACTGGGCATACATATGTAAAGAGGAAAGGAACTGGCCGCTGTCATTCTAGAAGTCCTGGCTGGTGCCAGCTCTGTAGCAGGCATTGGGCTGGACTGGGGTAGTGCCATGGTGAATGAGGTGCCACCTCTACCCTCAAGGAGCTCCCTGGGTTGGGGTAGTCAGAATCACTAATGGAGCGTCTCCATCTAGGGTGCTAAGTGATTCTCAAGGGTTGAACAAGAGAAACAGCTCAGAGCAGAGAGTGACTGCTCCTTCCACATCAACACGAGTTGCTGTGCCCTGGCAGCCTGCGAATGCACTGAGGCCCCCTGCATTCCTCTAAGGGTGGGGAGATCAAAGAGGTTCCAGGCCTCTGCTCTATAGACTGGAGGCTTGAAAGGGAGCACAGGTTTGTACCAGCAGGACTAAGCTTAGCACTGCACCGAGGACCTTGACCTCCAGCCAGGGAAAACAAAGGCGTAAGATCTACTGGGGAGCAGAGACTTTCACATACATTATCCCACTTAACCTCCTTAAAGAACTGAGTGTCCCTTTTTTATCCAAAGCCAAGAGAGGTTAAACAACTTACCTAGAGACACACAGTGAGCAAGTGGCAGCACCAGAATTCACCCTCAGGTACGTTTCAACTCCACTGGCTTGATCTTTCCTACAAGCACCCTCCTGCCAACCCCATGCCTTCCTAACAGATGGGCCACTTCCATCTCTCTGCCAAGCCCTGCAGACGTGGCTATGTCCTGCCTTCCTCCAGAGGAACCTGGGCAGCCTCAGGGTCTGGCCCACCGCAGTCCCTCCTGTCTTCCCCAGCTGCCAAACCACTAATTAGTGTGCCTGGCATCGTGGACTGCAATGTGCACTAGCAATTGTTCCTCACAGCTTCCCTCTCACCCTCGCCTCCCCTTGAAAGCCTAGCTCCCAGCTAAATTTAGCTATGACTACTTCTTAGGGAGGGTTGGGGTAGTTGGGGAAGGAAGGCTAAGTCCTAAGCTTTGAGTCTCCAGAGTGAAAGGAAGGTAGCCCAGGGCTCCATCCCTCCCGGACAGCCTCCCCTCCATCACCTGCTGGTGCAGCCCTGAGGCTGTGGCGTTGTGTTACTGCACACACTTGGCTTGAATTTGATGGATGCTGAGGTCCATGTACAATAGCAATAGGAACTTTTTAACACCACACCTCTGTCTTCATCAAAGCTGCCTTGTTTTCATTGACAGATTTTATAATAAGCAGTCATTACCCATTTGTTCAATACTTTTATATTAACATTGGAGTTAATGTTTATACATTGGGTTTCCGGGGTTCTATGCAAGATTTCCCTCCTCCACCCTCCCTCCCTTCTTCCCTCCCTCCCTCCCTCCTTCCTTCCCTCCCTCCCTCCCTCCCTCCCTCCCTCCCTCCCTCCCTTCCTTCCTTCCTTCCTTCCTTCCTTCCTTCCTTCCTTCCTTCCCCCTTTCTATTTCCTTTCCATTTTCTTTTGACAGAGTCTCACTCTGTCACCCAAGCTTGAATGCAATGGAGAAATATCAGCTTACTGCAGCCTTTAACTCCTGGACTCAAGGGATCCTCTCACCTCAGCCACCTGAGTAGTTGGAACTAAAGGTGCATGCCACCGTGCCTGGCTAATGTTTTTACTTTTTGTAGAGACAGAGTCTCACTATGTTGTCGAGGCTGGTCTGGAATTCCTGAAATCCTTCTTCCTCCACCTCCCAAAGCACAGGCTTGAGCCACTGCACTCAGACCGATTTCTTTTGAGAAGGATTTGTTTTCTTAAAATGCAAGTTTGGAAACCAGAGCTTCACACTTGAGTGCCTTTCTGCTTTGAGTGTGATCTGAGAACCAGCTGCATGGGCACCCCTTGAGGGCTCGTTAGAAATGCAGAACACGGCCCCCACCCCACACTGAGTGAATCAGAACCTGTTGCACTTTACAAGATCCACGAGTGATCTCTACACTGTTTGAGAAGCACTGCCTTAGTCTAAATCAGGATCACTGGGGAACATGTCAAAATGCAGATTCTCTGGCTGGCTCCATGAGATTCTGACTCAGGAGTAGGGGAAGGCCCAAGCTATATCTATTTGTCCATTTGTCCTTTTTTTTTTTTTTTTTGAGACAGAGTTTCGCTCTTGCTATGCAGGGTGGAGTGCAACGGTGCGATCTCAGCTCACTGCAACCTCTGCCTCCCAGGTTTGAACAATTCTCCTGCCTCACCCTCTCCAGAAGCTGGGATTATAGGCCTGCACCATCATCCTCATCTGAATTTGGTATTTTTAGTAGAGACAGGGTTTCACCATGTTGGTCAGGCTGGTCTCGAACTCCTGACCTCAGATGATCCACCCGCCTTGGCCTCCCAAAGTACTGGGATTACAGGTGTGAGCCACCATGCCTAGCCTATGTCTGTTTTTCATAGCACCTGTGGTTATGGTGCAAGTCTTCTGTCTGCCCTGAGATGTTAACGTTCGCCCTCTGCTAACAGCTTCAGGGAGGCAGGCTGCCAAATAAATGCACCAAAGTAAACTTTCTCAAAACATCTTTCTGTCCTTTCCAGAGACCCTGTGCTCTGACATCCCTGAGATGGGTGATGGTCTGGGGAGAAAGCATGCCTGTGATCTGCAGCTTCTCAAGCTCTCACTTTAGCCTTGACCATGGAGTCATCCTTTTGCTACAGGGAGAGATAGACTAAGGCAGCAGACATTATGTGGGAACCAGGTCTGTCCCCAAGAAGAGGCAGTCTTGCAGATTACAGACCAGATCTGCAAACATTCCTGCAGACTCTTTGAAATTACTGTCTATGTAATCAGTCCCCAAGGATTTCATGCTAGTTCTTTCCTCCTCTTCTTGCCTGCTAGACCTTCCCACAGGGAAAAATGTTCCCAAGTAGAGAGATGTCTCAAGAAAGGTGACAAGGAGGGGAGAGGCAGGTGATTAGACCAGCTGGATTGCCCGCATCCTGGAGCGTGAGGCCCAGAATGAGTTCCTGGTGTCTGCTAAGTGCTCAAAAAAATAATCATTGATTTTTTTTTTCAAAAGAGTCATCTCCCACCTGGATTGTTGCAATACCTTCTAAGCAGCTTCCTGCCTCCAGTCTGCCTCTGCAGAGGGCACAACTGTAGACCCCTAAGGGAGTGTCTGAGAAGCTGGGCTGGCAATGGGAGGCTCTGGCAATCAGGCTTTTCCCTTGACAGCCCATCTGCATAGAGTTGGGTCCCCACGTCCCTCATCCTGCAGGTCTCTGCTCAAACGCTGTCTTAGAAATGTTGCCCTCCTCATCTCACTCCCCTGTAACTCATCCTTCTTGGGCTTCTAGCCCTGCCATCTCTTGCTTTGAGTTCCTTGGGACTCCCTTGGCTCCCAGTATCCTGTCCAAATGCCTTGGACATATAAAGCCTTCCTGACCTAGGTTCTGCCTGCCCTTCCACCTGCATCTTTGCCAGCCCTCCCTGTGCTCTATGCTCCACCAAGGCCATCCAGCGCCTTGAGGGTGCCATGCCCTTGTGGGCATATCTGCCTGTGCACCTGCTGCTCCCTCTGCCAGGGATATCCTTTTCTCTACCCACTGGCCGGTCTCCTACACCTGTCCCAGTAGCCACTTCAAGGGTCCATCATTCATTCAGTCATTCAACAAGAATTGAATGAGTTCCTACCATGTGCCATGAACTAAGCTAGAGTTTGGGGACATACAGGGCATACAATAGATTCATCAACACATTTAAAATACTCCCAGACCAAGAAGCTTCGGAATAACCTGTCTCCTCCCTTCCATGGATTGCTAATGCGGAAACTGAAGCACAGTGTGGTTAAATGGCTTTCTCAAGGACAAACTGCTAGAAGGTAGAGGGTAAGGACTAAAACAGGGAGTCTGGCTCCAAAGCCCAGGGCATGGGCACTGTGCTACTGTGCAGCCCCTTTGCAAAGGTCTGTTTCTCAGTGTCTCCTCTGCTCCCGCTCCTCCGTCCTCCTGCCCTAGTTCTCCTCTGGTGCTCCCAGTTCAGAGAATGGAACCTCTGTTCATCCAGTATCTCAAGACAGAAAGCTGGGAGTCATTTTGGCCACTGCCCTCTCCATCTCCCAGTTCTGTTTGCCTCCTGAATATCTCTGACATTTGTCCACTTTTCTTCACTGTCCCCTGATACCTCCTAGCCTGAGGTTCTATATTGTCTCCCCTGGACAGCCGCATAGCTCTAAATTGCCTTCTCTGCCTTTACCCATGCCCTCGACACAAATCAACAGACTCGAAGCCAGTCTGACCAGGGCACCCAGCCTGACTTCTACAGGCCTCTCATACTGCCCTCCCTGCCCCATCTCAGCCCTCCCTCCAAAGCATCTGCACATGGTACCCGCTTTGCCTGTGGGAGCTTCTCATCCTCCACCCCCAACACAGTGGATTCTCACTCTGCCCATTCCTCAGCTCTCAGTTCCAGATACATTGTCCCAGGGGTTCTCCTCTGATGCTCTGTCCAGCCCAAATGCCTTTGCTTCCCTCGCGGGCCTGTCTTGCTCTGTGATTACACGCT